CCAGAAAACTGAGGCATACACTGCCGTTTACAAACCAGTTGTCAGGAGGAAGTCAGAAGGAGCTCAGAGGAAATAAGAAGCAGAGAGGAGTTTTGTATTTAAAGTTGAGTTTATGAGAAGTAGAAGAAGGAAGTTTGAAGATGGAAGATAAGTTTCTTATTAGCAGTAAAAACTGCAGGGCTGTCACTTTTAGGAATGCTTTTCAGGCTTAAAGGAAAGAATATGCAAAGTAGAATTGAAGTTAAGAGATCAGACTGATTGATTTGAATTGTTTTCTTTCATGCAGTAGTATCAGACCTGACCCCTCGAGTGTCCCAGGACTCGGGTTACCTGCAGACGTTGGGGGCTCGGCTCTCCCCCGGCCCGCTCCCCGTCCTCCTCTTCCCCTGTGCTGCCGGGTGTGCGGCCTCACGCTGGAGGGAGGCCGACCTGGACGGGGACCAAGGCCGACGGGAGGGGGAGGGGGAAGGGGAGGAGGGGAGGGCGACGGAGGACAGGTACGTTTCCTAAACTCTGTTTTTCTTCTTCTTCCTGTTAGCTCTGTCATACTGCGGTTTCATCACAATGTAGAAAAAATGATTTCTTAATGTCAGTGATTGATGTCGGAAAAACCTTGTTGTGCAATGTTTAGTTTCCATGGTATAAGTTTGTCTTGTGAGTAAACAGAAGCTCTTCAAACTTCCCACATCACGACCGTCACGTCCCACTATATTTAGATTTACATAAAGTGATACCTGTTTGGGAAAGCGCAGTGAGAATGAAACAGACACGTCGCGGGAGAAATCAAACCTTGTACCGTGTTACTGTTTGGAATTTTGCAGGTGTGTCGTCGTTGTCGTTTGGACCTTGCTGTCCAAAGATGGATCCGGGGCCTCCCTGAGGACCGACCGTGTCTCGTGGATCCCGGCGGTCAGGCAGCACACCAAGCTTACCCACTGCCCTCACTGCCCCTTCCGTTCCCCTACCCAACCACCTGCCCGCCACGCCACACCCACTCTGAGAGAAACCCCACCGCTGCCGCACTGCCCTACACTCCTCGCACCTGACAACCTCAAAACGCACACTGCGCTTGCACACGGGAGAGAAGCCTTTACCAGTGCCTTCTGCAAGCTAACGCGGCCTGCGGAAACCTGGCCAACCTGCGGCGACACGAGCGCATCCACTCGGGCGCCAAGCCGTTCCACTGCGGCGTGTGCGGCTACTCCTGCAACCAGAGCATGAACTTGAAGCGGCACATGCTGCGGCACACGGGCGAGAAGCCGTATGCCTGCGGCGAGTGCGACTACACCACGGGTCACTGGGACAACTACAAACGGCACCAGAGAAAACACGGTCACAACACAGACAGCTGGGACAAACACACACCCATCAACGGCCTCAGCTGGGGCAAAGACACTCAGGAGAGCGAGAGTCAGGGACGGGAACACAGCTAGATACACTGTGTGTGTGTGTGTGCTGTGTGTTGTGTGTGTGTGTAGTACTACACTGGTGAATCTCCAGCTCAGGGAGGTTGGAGCTAATCTCAGGTGCCTTTGAATGACTGTTTTGCTGCACTGACTTTCTCAAGGGCATTAATGTGTGTGCTGTGTGTGTGTGTGTCATGAAGCCAATGTGATGAATTGAAATGTTTATTTTTCTCTCTCTAGATGATCTATATTTTGTAACTGTGGATGGATTTGTGCTTTTTCTTTTTCATAATAGCAAGATGGATCATTATCTACAGGCTTTAAGTGTGAGTGGGGGTTTGATCTGCGACTCATGCAGTTTGTCAGCGGGGTTCCTGTGCAGCTTCAGTCTGCTTCCAAACCTCTGACTCTTCATCTCAACAACATATGGAACATAACTCTAGTGTTTATAGACACTAAAGATTGTGTGAGAGAAAATAACTCAAATGACCTGCTACCATGACGTTAAGTCTAATTCTTCTAATATTATGACTTTATTCTTGGCCTAATTTCTCAACAGTGGCCCTCAAATTGTGTTGCATGTAACAGTCAAACAACATTTGAATCCAGAATTTTAAATATTGGATAGTCAGTCCTTACTGTGCTGCATGGAGCCACAGAGATGCACAGGAGCCCCCACCCCAACCTAACTGATGCCGGTGTTCAGGAGGAATCTCGTGCCTTTTCTCAGCCTTGGCAGCAGCGCGTGAGGGAGTGGGCCTTCACCTCTCAGACATCAACAGTTCAGGGAAGAGCAGAAATCATTTAGTCATGAAAGAACTCTAATTTTATTAAATCGTGAACATTTAGCAATTTTGCATCTGGTCTTTATTTCAGTAATTATGTCATCCCAATAACTAGACGAGGGCTCAGATGCTGGGTCAATGTTAACGTGAAGCTCTGCAGGTGATGTGAAGCCTGTTTCTATCGGGGCATTGATCCTAAAAGAAGCCCCCCTTTAAATCAAATGTGTGGAAACGGAGTTTATGAGGGAACGTGTGAAGAATATGTTGGCTGGCTGGTGAATATATGATATTTTTTGTGTTCTTCACAAACTGGCTTTTTGCTTTTATAAATGATGGCTGGTGTTCAGCATGCAGTGACTCTGATGCCCCCCCCCCCTCCGAGCTCATAGTCAGTGAAGCATTAAGACTGGGAGCAGGGGGGGAAGTTAGCCTGACTCAGACGGAATTGCCAACACCTCCGAAGCTCACTGACACTTTTTTGTATTTTGTTTGTTGGAGCTGCACATGAGCAGAACTAAGAATGTGTAAACGTGTGTTCACAGCGAGGCTGCCAGGTTTGTTGTTCACAGTGCCTTCACTTCTCGAATAAAACAAGTCTGATTGAAGCTGAATTGAAGCTACTTCCTCTTTCACACTCTGTTTAGGAAACACCTGCTTCACACACCCAGAGGTGGAAGGACGAGGACAGAGGGACTCATGGTCCCCCAAAAAACACCCCGACCCGCAAAAACACAGCTGATGTAAAGCTTCCTTTACTCCTCAGAGCTGATGTGACACACTACAACACAAAATAAAAGATACATACATACATACATACATACATACATACAAATAAATAAATAAATAAATAAATAAATAAATATACAAATATACACACAATATGTTCTGATGTAGAGGTGTGATAAAGCGTGATGGGGGGGCGAGGTCAGTCTACTGTGACTGTGACAGACTGTATGTAAAGCAGATGGGGTTCCTGTGTGTGTGGTGTTGGTTTTGTTTCACAAGCGAGTGAAGAAAGCCACAGTAAATACCTCAACCCATGGGCCTGGTGAGTACAGTGCAATGTGCTTTTTAATGATCTCAGCTTTTATTTGAATGTTAATCTGCTCTGTCAGCATTTCAATAGTGAAGAAAGATTTCTGTTCGTTTGTAAATGTCCAGGTGTTTTGTTACCACCTTTTTAAATAGCTCTTGATCAATGGTTAATAATCATTCATGCTTTATATGTATGTGATTAATGAGGACAATGTTGGGGTTGATGAACACTTTTTAGCTCTTAAATTCACCAGAAAGATCACCTGGAAAAAAGCAAGCAAGTCCATTGATCAACCTTGTGATTTTAACGCTTGGAAACTAGAATTCAAACTCAGTGTCGAGTAGTTGAAGGAGTGTTTAAAAGAAAAGGCACAGCGACTTCCTGCGCCCCCTTTAGGTCTTTGAACTCGACTCACACTGAAGGAAAGTGCGACAGAAGCCTCAGCACTCAGTTCTCATTTATTGCTCAGATTTGATTTTTAAATGTGGCAAATGTCAGATTCCAGTGTGAAGGGGACCGGTCCTCATATCGGCACGACAAACAAAGATCTAGAGCAGAGTTAATTATGAGTATCATTTTTTTACACTACATACCACCTCAGGAAATATTAGCCTCTCCCAGTATGACAGTTCAGGCAGGAGGCAGATTTATTCCTAATAAGAATATTATTTCCTAAAATATTACAGACAATTCAAATTATTATTATTTTAAATTACATTCCAGCGACCTCCTAGTTTCAGTGTTTTTATTCTGTAGTAAACTTTGATAGTATAAAATGTTTATAAATTAATGTTGTACCACTATAAGGAGCTTGTGTACCACCAGTGGAACACGTACCATAGTTTTGGAACCGGTGGTTCTCCACCTTTTTCTTTAAGGGACCCCTTTTATATCATTATATTCTATAGATATTTCATATTAATTTCATAACTGTACAATGAACCCAAACAGGGAACTCAAGAAGTTTGTGTAAAACCAGAGATTTGGATGAAGGTTTTGGAGCAGATTATTTCCTGTTTTAAGCGAACTTTTTTTATACAAATCTCAGTCTGGTATTATGGTATTTTTTATCATTCTTTTACCATCCTTACAGGCGCAATAGGATTTTTTTGGACAAATCAGTGTTTCCTCAGTGACCCAAATGCTGAGATAAAGTCCGTACTGTGTTATGATTTTGTGTTTTACCCCCAAATGTTAGATAGCAGTGTTGTAAACTGAGGGCCTGTGATGTTGGATGCCAAATGGTAGATCTCACTTTTGTGTTGCATAAAAAAGGAAGTAAAAGTGCAGATTGTAAACATATGTTGCTTTTGCTTGTTCTAAAATTAGATTTTTTAAAAACGCAATGTATCGCCATGGCTTACAGGTCCGCAATATATCGCAATATTCAAAACTGTTACTCCTGTATGGTGATATTTATCGATTGACAAAATTCTTAGACAACCCTGCTTGTCGAAATTGACCTTTGCAGTAGTCGACCCTGCTAAAATAAATAGTGGATGAAGGTCCACTGAAAGGTAGCTGGATTTGTAAGATTATAACAAGCTGCTCTTGTTACTGCTTTCATGGTGACTGTTCAGACTAATGACTAGTGTATAAGTGTCAAGGGGGGCGCCACAGGTCATACATTGAGTCTAATGTAATAATTTGGGAAGTTTGATTTAGGTTAATTGTTAAGAGAAGGATACTTAATAGAAAAGTGACACCATGTGACATAGAAAATTAACAGTCGAAATGTACAAAATGATACAAACAATGAAATGATGCGTAACTGAGTGAGGGCAGTTTGAGGAAAGATGCTTCTCATTTTTGGGGCTTCTGCTCAGGATGACTGCAGTTTTTGTTGTGGTTAAATAAAAACTGCATGTTGTTGGACAGAACTCAGTGTCGGTATTAGTGTTGGCGGAGGGTCCTGTGTAAACATTTTATCCCTCCATAAGCTGCCATGAACAGTGAGTGTGTAAAAGTCTGTCTGTTGGCTCTGCAGAAACATCCCAGCCCCAGCTGTTCCCGGGAGACATCGTGGGTATCCAGGAACAATACTCTCTCTCATTTCCGCAAGGGTGTACTACGGAGATGAGGGAGGGTTGTACCCCGTACGTGCTCACCTGACATGCCGGAGGTTGGTATTACCTGCTGTACCGTCCCTTGTGTTAGAGCCCAAGAGTCAAAATATTAAGAAAGTTTCCTTTTATTTTTTCTCCCATCATTGGCCCCAGAAGTAGGCCCTTCCATACAATTGTTGATCTCAATGCCAGAGAGTCAATTAAATTTACGATTTAATGTTTTAAGAAAAATTGAGAAAACCTTCAAGATAAAATATTAGTTTATCCAATCTCCAACCCAACTGAAAGAAAGCCCTGATATTATCTTCTGAAATCAACTGTCCTTTAAATCAAGTACCATCTTAACTCATAATGGCATACCAATCATATAATTATCATTATTAAGACAAAACTGCAAAAACGCCCTATTCCAATATATAAATAGTCGTGTGTGGCTGTGCGTGAGTAAGATGCGAGATAGATCGTTAAGCCAAATTTATGTAAGCGAAACTATCTGAAACACAAAAATATTCTCAAACACCCACAACACACAACACATACCTATAAACAAACAAAAAAATTACACTAAGAAAAAAAAAGAACCCAAAATTTTGCCTCATCATCTAACAACAATATTATACTTACAAAAATAAATACAAAACAAAATATCTATAACGAAAAAGCGGACCAGCGACCCACAAATCTCCACAACCCAATCTTCGCCAACCTTCAACTCTGAATCAAACCAGTCCCAAAAGCATCAAAAAATAAAAACACCAACCCACACAACACTACCACCCATCCACCTCAAAACAGAAAAATCTTCTCTATAACTCTCCAACAAACAAATTTATGATACATCACATACAAACCAATTCCTGAGCCAAAACGCGTGCACATACACAAAAAATCCCACCCCATTAATAAAAAAAAATTCCAAATAAAATCATGATCTAACCAAAAATAACCAACCTAAAAAAAAAACAAATCTATTTACCATAAAAAACCTTCCACCTACTACTAAAATAAAATAAGATTTACTTCTTCCCCTCCAACTATCCTCTCTATACCGGCCTCTCTCGCCACCACGACACAAAGTACCAATCAACACCCTACATGCTTCACTCCTGCTGCCCGAAAATTGGTATAATAACACCTATCCACTGAACCTCCACATAAAAAAAACACTCCCACAAAAAAAACAGCGAGAGCAGTAACAAAACGCCGATCCGTAGCTCTTATCTCCAGGGCAAAACAGTAATGAACATCAAAACGTTGATAGCGCGGGCAAACAACAATGGCTATGCGCGATTGAATGGTTGAACCCACTAACCGCATGCCCCGGTGGTATCTACCAAACATCCCCAACAAGCGAATCCCAGTCTAGAAGATTTGTCACGTTACAATGATAGCACCCGACTCGAAACAAAACAAAAACAACTAGGCCTTATTACCCGCAAACCTCTATCATCATATCCAATAAAGCAGAATATTTTAAACATGTGCGTTTCAGATTCAAGAGAACACCGATCCCTAAACCTTCTGCGACGCCCGAATGCTCTCGCGAGGCTCAAAGCGAAAGACCCAACACCCGCTGATCCACTAGAAACTGACGAGCTAGGCGGAAAAAAGCACAGTACCAAAAGAATACTCCAAAACATAAACCAACCTTATAGTTCCAAAAAATACCTCCATCGGTTGTACTGGAAAAACTCACTAAATGACATTCAAAATGAAAACGTCCCCCTTATTAACAAATGTCAACAAACCATGTATGAGCACCACAGCCGGCAGTTAACACCCACAGAGACTACACACAGCGTAGGTGAAAGCCCGCAAGCCGACCGAATACATTGAAAATGGGAACCGATCCACTTCCCAAGGGTGAACCGTTCATATCTTGTTCAAAAAGGAGGCACCTCACCCAGGCCGACCGTCCAGATACGGTGCTATCACAAAAGACAATACCTTCCAACCGCCCAGATGGAACCGGAGAACCCCCATATATTATTCATACCAAACATCACCTCCCAAACTAATGTTTCCAGTTTAAAAGCTGTAACATATCATCTTCCGCATGAACATAGCTAGGTAGTGTCAGGTGTGTTAACAAAT